ATGCAATAGTGCTGGTATTTTTTTCTAAATAGTAAATACTAATCGATTAAATTTTTCAATATAATAATGGTAATTTTTTTTTTATATAATGGTGAAATAATAAAAGCGATGTGACAAGATTAGATTAACAAGGACCATCTAAATTCAACTTTGATAGTCACATGGCTATAAAATTAAAAACAAACAACCTCTGACGAAGAACTCTTCATTTGTATTAATGTCTGTTTCTTTTAACTACATGTAGGACCTCTCTTCGATAATCACATTGTATCCACTCAATTTATTTATGTTTTTTATGAAACGTAAAATATTGTTTATGCTGATTTATTTTGTCATTTGATTCCGTATAAAATCCTCCACTACAAATGTATTTTTTTTTTTCAACGACTCAAAATGTTTTAATTTGTTTGCTAAAGAAAACTGTACATGATTTACACAGAAAGAAAAAATTTCATATTGATTGACTAAAGTCAGTTCACGCCTGATAAATCGGTGACAATCTAGTGGGCAATAATGCGTATAACGTAGGACATGTTTTGTTTCTTTTAATTACTAGTATATTTCACAATAATTTGTAATGCCATCATTTATTTTTATAAACTCATTTGTTATGTAGAGTCAATTTCACTTGAACTTTAATATATCAACTTATGTTATTCATGTGATTATAATAATTACACCGGTCGAACAATATGCGGAATACCTAACTTTTTATCCATATATAATCCAATAATTAATAGCTTTAGGTATTTGTACTACATAGACTTAAAATATACCTCAAATATTGAAATACACCAACGTATATCAAGTAAAAAAGTACAACTGTTAATTAATGAAACTCTAAAACATCTTGCAGTCAATCGTTATATCACACAAAGATAAGAATTAAAAGGATTGTAACCAAACAAATAAAACAAAAAAGTTACGAGAAAAAGACTAACAAAGAAGAAGACAATAAGAGATCATAGCTTAAGAGTCAAGTCAATCTTCTTAAACTGATTATGATTTTCTTGCTTGCTCTTGAAATATCCAAAACTCTCCAACTTAGAAGAAGCAATAATGTTACTATTATTACTACCCGCAACTTCAAGATGAAATTTCTCCGGCAACATCTGTCCAAAGATCGGTTTCTGGTGAATGCTCTGTTTGAAAACATGACTTAAACTCGTTGTTTGTCTTCCTAAAAAGGGTTTATGGATCGTTGAATGAACTTGAATCCCTAGCGTTGACCTATTACTCGCCGAGCCATGTAGCGGTAACGATGCCATGCTTGCGAATCTACTGACCGAACCGTGTCCATACGCAAACGCTGAAGAAGGAGAAGAGGAAGAGAGACTCATCTTGTAGTAGTGTCCGCGTTTGGCTAAAGTACGTTCGCGTTTATGAGCGTTTTGGTGGCCGCCTAGTGCTTGTGAGCTATAAAACTTTCTTTGACAATAGTTACATGAGAACACTCTTGGATCTTCCAAATGTTCTTGATGATGAGAAGTCGACGATGAGCTCTTCTTTAAAGAATCGATGAGATTGAGCTCTGATGAAGCCGTGCCACGTGGCAAAAGGGTCAAACCCAACTCAAGATCTTGATGCCCTCGTTTCTTGATTAGTTTTAACATTTCTTGATCTTCTTTGATGGACGAATCCATGTCTATCTTTTTGTGTTGTATATAGCCTAGAGAGAATATATATATAAAGAGAAGGAAAGTAAAATTTGGATATATAGATGTGAAGTGCTGTGGTCGTGGGAAGTGAAGTGTGAGTTCTATTTATGGGAATCAGACGGACATGTGACCTTTTTCAAGAAATTGAATGATGTTTAAAGAAAAAAAAGGACACTTTTGATGTGTGCAATCTGACCTAGAGCTACAGAGCCCACACATGTAAATGTATAGTAGTGGACACTTGAAAAAAGGGGAAAAAATTAATGTTATAATTAGATGAATTATTGATTTATTTGGGAGCATGAATAATGAGTGTTCATGATTTCATGTTATACTATTGTAAATGTAATGAATGCTATAAGTAGCTCTATCTTAATCAAATGAGTTTGTCTTTGTTCTCACCTCGTTTTTTTTTATATATCCTTTTTCATGATAAATGGTTTAGGGTTATTATCAGTATACATTAATCGTATGTACGTAGTTCATTTGTTTAGGGTCTAGGTGAGACGTTTGATTCAAAACCCTAAATGAAGAAGCTGTCTTTAGTTGTTTAAGTGTTAGGTAAGTTAGCAATTTGGACAAGGATTATGAAGCCAATCAAATCTCCCCGACAATCACTTTCATTTCAATTTTTTAAATCCATTTTCTCGGTTTCGGTTGAATGTCCCAAACTGAAAAACCATACACATCCATCTCACATAAAAGATGTCATTAATCATTGTTTATGGTTATTTAATATTCATTCTTGTTAACTTACAAAACCATACACCATTGATATAAGTCAACTAAACTGTTCAATCACTCCTTTTTCCCCCCAAAGATTATTCGTGGTTTATCCAATAAAAAAGTTGTACTTGTGGTTTATTTTTATTTGTGGTTATGAATTAGTTAAAAAATTATGATGTATATACACGTACATCGGTACATGGAATGGCATGATCATCTTTATTTTAAAATGTTAAGTACAAGTGTACAACCTCAAAATATCAAATGCATTTGAAATTTTATATCCACGGATACAATCATCAAATTATACGTAATAGTCGTACCGATTCAATTTTCAGTACATCCAAATGTGATCATGATTCATCAAAACTATTATTATTGATTTTTCTTAAATAAAACCATCTGCAGGGAAAATAAACTCATCCACCTTTATTGTCAAAAGTACATTTTCTGCTTTAATTGTAGTGACTTATGAGGTGATGCATTTTTGTTTTTATTTTGCTTTGTCTAATCAATTTCGACAATATATCTCCTCCTAGATTACCTTGTCGGTTCAACCTCCAAACCAAAAATATATGGACCACCCTCTCATTCTTT